GTGGGCCGATCAAAAGAAACGACACGGTTGAGGAAACAGATCTACCATCACAACAAACGTCACCCCCTCCATCAAGCCATTCGTTGGCTGATTCTCTTTATCCTGCATGACTTTTAGTCGCACGAGACAACCAAATGACACAGGATCAGACCCAGTCAACGTCTATCCAGCCCATGACTTGGTTTCTTTACCATTTCCGCTGGCAATAACCATATCTCGGCCGATTGAACAAGCTCCCGTCACTTGCTCCTCTAGATTGGCTCTGCTACCCGAAGACCCCTCCTTTTTCCCCAGAACTTCATCTAGACCGCCTCGATCATCGCTCGATCCTCAGACAAACGCATCCACAGATGACTTCATAGGCGTTCCTCAAGCTGGGTCGAACTCGAAGTTAGCCCACAGACGGACCCCTCCGCGTTGCCAATGGAAGAAGTTCAGGGTGGAATGTCTTGGGACGCACAATGGCCAGTAGGGAGGGGTTGGAGAGCATCCCGATCTGGAGCCAAGAACTTATCACTGCTGATGCAGCATGCTTGATGTAGCAGCAAAGTTGAGTGCATTGTTGGGATGAAAGGTCGGTTACCGCTCCTGTGGGTGGCATTACCCTGCAGCAATGCAAGCACGCCAGGTGATAGTCTGATGCGGAGTTTCCAGCGGTGCCCGCAGCAAGCAACAAAGAGTCATCGTCGTTTTGTTGCAGCGTCCCCCTCCTGAGGCTATTGAGCTGCGTTGCCATCATACTATTGAGGCGGCTTGATGGTGTGTCTCGGTGGAACGAGTCTGCATACACAATGCAACCCAACACATGGCATACGAAGGGCCCTCTCGTCCATCCCACCACGGTCTCATCCGCTCGATGCCTTTTCAATTTGGATTGTCGCTACCCAAGCACAGCACAGACGGCTGTGTCAAACTTTGGGGACGACTCGGCTGTCTATGAGCATTGGATGGGTGACCCTCACCCGGTTCCGTCGTCACGGCTTTGCTCTGCCGGAAGCCGTTGGAGATTCGAGACTTCAGCCGACATCTTTCTTCCTATCTCTTCCTCTATTTTGGCCTCCCTGTCTCCGACGATATGACGACAGACATCTGAACAGTCGATTTTTCAAAAGGACTGCATATCCCTTAGCGCCACCAGCCCTCTTTCAATGTCGCTCAAAATGAAGTGCAGAACTTCCACAACTACTAATAATCACCACCACGTGACGGTGCAATTGACTCCTATTCCCCGTAGTTTACCCCTCTTCCCCCTCAACCCTGATCTCGATCGCCCGCTTGCGCTGGGCTCTTCCCCGTAGTTGGTCCGCGGACAACCTAAGCGGACTGGGCTTTGTCGCAACCCCAAAGGTTCCAGACCCCTTTCCCGACTAACCGTCACTCTTTGACGATCATTGCGGGATAAAAGGTGATAGGCGTTGCTGCACATACGCTTGTCAGACACTCAAACAACTTTGATTCCCCTTGTCTCTACCTGTTACACACCTGACAAGCCACAAGCGAAGACCCTGTGTAGGTAATAGCAAGACATCTGATCCCCATCGACGGCCTCCCCTCGTGATCCCCCACTCCTGTTTGCTCAACTTCAGCTATTGGAAGCTGCAGTGCCACCATACCTCGAATGCCCACCCCAAGCTCGGACGACTCTTCTTGCCTATTAGCCACCTCTACTGGGCCAAGCAAAGCTGTGGTCCCGGTGGCCTTTTTCACAGCAGAATCAGCTATCTGGTTAGCTTTGCTGTTTGGTGCTGTTGTGGGACATCAGGATGCTATAAATGTCTCAAGATTGCTGTAAACTTTGGGCTTCCCCGTTTGACGATGGCTTCAGCTTCGTGTCCTGGCAAATGAAAAGCCATGGACACACGGTAGTCAGGCTTCAGGCCACCACAAGACGGAAAGGTTTCCCGGGAGTTGCTGGATCACAACGGTCTCTAGGGGCCCTAATGCCATCCAAAAAGACATATCACATCTCCCATTGCATAGCTCACCGGACAGTTTTCCCCGCTCAAGGACGTTGGGCTCGCAGTTGGGGGCGTCATGATCAATAACGTACCGTACCACAGCATACCTTCGTTGAACCCCAAGTCACCCCATCATCACATTCACCACGTTCACATGCTCATCTCATAGCTGGTCTCAGTCCATCTTGCAAACTGGTAGCAATGGTTGTGATGATACAGCTTGTAGGCTACACCAATCAAAAGTGAACCAACACCTTCCATAATCCATGACAGTCAAGAATTCCCCACGCTCACGTTCGAGAGTCCTCATCCACCACCCTCCCCATCCCCCCAAAAATCCCGTCAGTCTTCCTCAGCACATCCACACTCGCCCACCTCAACCTCCTCGCCTCAAGCCACCTCCCCTTTTCCACCCACCTCTGCTCCAACCACTTCGCCAGCCCGGCCGCATCCCCCGGCAACTCCTCAATGGGGAACCTCCTCACATGTACATGAAATCGATACCCCACCCCCCCTTGCTCCCTAGTCAGACTCAATTTCGGGACTGCAATCGTCTCCCACATCGTCGGCGCCTTTTGAAACTCCTCCCCACACTGATACGCCAACGTCAAATCATACACCGCCTTGACATGCGGCGCCTTCCTCAAATGCTGCACCGTAGCAATAAATCCCCTCGTCCTCGGATAGAGCAGATACTCTGGTTGGGGTTTGCCATTCTGCCTGCACCAGAGCCGTGACTGGAGGTATTTCTCCGGTGTAAACCGTGACCCTTCCGAAAAAGATACCAGCCCTACAGACATATCATTAGCCCCTCATCATCATCAACTTTCCCCCCAAAGAAACCTCACAAGTCTTCCACCCTTCTTCCTTCACCCCCCTGAAAACCCTCTCCAACTCCCTCTTATCCCTCGTCCACTCCCTCGTAACAGTAGGCATACCCATCCCCCATAATCCCTAACCCAAGAACGGAACCCACTTCAACCCCGCCTTTGCAAAATATCTCGTGTGGCCTCCCATGTTTGCTTTATCAGCAGCAGCTTGGACAAGGTAAAAGTCTGACCAGGCGACGTGGTTTGATATGACGATGGCGGACTCGTTTGGCAAGGGGGTGTCGCCGGAAAAGGTGATTTCGGCGCTGTTGATCGCAGTGAAGATGTGCTGGATGAAGCGGTAGACTAGCGTGCCGGCGATGAGGGAGCAGAGGGTGTGGATTAAGGAGGAGGGGAGGAGGAGTTTGGCGAAGGGGAGCAGGAACAGGGTTAGGTTGGCGAGGCCGGTGGAGAGGAGAAAGGGGGTGACGAGGAGGAGGCCACGGAGGGGATGGGGGAAGAGGTTGGTGAGGCAGGTCATGGTGTTGGGTTGTTGGCTGTATGGATGCTAACAATGAATGATGCGAGGTTATTGTAAAGGTAAGATGGCTGTCACCAGGATTGAGACCAGCTGGCTGGATGAAGGGAGAGGGTTTGGCGATGCTCGGAGCACCTTTGTTTTCATCATGGTGAAGTGTTCGACCATGGGCGGGAAGAGCACACCTCAGGAAGGCACGGCTAAGTTGCGTGTGTTTTCCAAGGGCAGGAACTCCCAAGTGGTAGGTGGTTGACCTTCCAGGCATCCAAGGTAAAATAATGAAGTTCGTCAAGGAAGAAGTGTAGATCCACTAGGTTATTTACGACGCATCATGCACGCGCACCAAAAGGCAGCCGTCATGACTCTAGCTGGAGTCTACAAGGCCGCCGCTTCATCAATCAAAATGAGATGACGTCCGTCGAGACTCAGGAATACCCTGGCCGGTCGTTAGCTTTGAGACGGCGATATCTTGGCCGTGGGTTAGGTGACAAGCTTGGTGTTTGATCGTTGCGGGAGCGCCACCAGACATAACCCCTGTCCGACTCCACGATTGACCTCGTGTGATCTGCTCAAGGCTCCCATGCCATCTGCTCCATTCTCTACAGCAGAATTGCTTCCAAACCTTGAGTAGAAAACCTATTATATACCAACACATCAATACCAAACTCACCGTACTGCCTTCCCTTTCGAAACACCGGTGTTCTCCTTGTGCATGCTTCCAGCGATAAGACGCGATGCCAAGGAGATACGCAACCCTCATCGCCAAGCTTTCTAGTGCTTCGTGGGGGTCGCCTCTCTGGCTTCCAGAACAATAATCTTGTGATTCACATCATGTTGCTTTTCGAACACAAAAAGACGATGCCTTCTTCAGAATTGTATGGATTCGAGCTCGGCCTCGCCTACAGAAACAACCAAACTCCACATTTCATTTGGCCTGGGAATCCCTGCCTCAGCGAGGAATCCGCCAGCCTTGCCCACAGTGGGATCTTAACTCCGCCAAACTCAGGTCCTCTTCAGCTTGGAGACTGGACAGTGATACCTCCCCGCAGCTCGGTTGGAAGTCAGCTTCGGCCTCTTGTCCAAAACCATCCAATCGTCTCATCATCTACTAGGAGGAGACTTACCGAGGACTTGTCTGTGTCGCAAGTCATGTATTCTTTCTGAAGGCCTTGATCGAGGCTAATCAGGTTGATTTTTTTGGCCTCTAACATCGTTCCCTCGGCACCAGTTTCATGATTACTTAGATGCAGATAAACTGCACCCCCAAATTGACTGCCAAGCTCAGGCACGCCAGCTCGCCATTCCAAATGGACCCCCCATGAAGTAGGCGCAGCAATCATCACCAGGCGCCTCCCACCGTCGTTGACGACGGAAACAAGTTCGCAGAATTGTTTACCACCATACTTCCCGTTGCGTCGATTCCTCTGCATGACTTCCCGAGGCTTTTCCAACACAAAATACGTGCGTGTCTTGTTTTCCCAAATAGCCCCCGTCCTCCTAAAACTCGACGGCGTTCAAGTCGGCGCATGAGCTTGCCTCGGGCCCCCCCACATCTTCGTCTAGACCAGATCGCATATCTGTATTGTCAATCTTCCTACTGCCGGCGCGCTTCCGGCGCACCAAAAAGTACCAGTTCCGAAGGGCCACGAATAGCATTTCCCCGTCTTCCACACCAACAGTTACGACAGTAACAACATGTCTTCATCGTTGTCGCCAGACGACTACAATCTCGATGCGGGACCCTCGGATCAGGACACAGGCCCGCTGTCTTCACTGAACCTCGAATTTCTGAAAAATATCACCGACAAGAAGTCGACAACGAAGGCTGGGCAGCCTCCAAAGCGTCGAGGACCCAAGCCCGACAGCAAGCCTGCGCTGACCAGAAGACAAGAGCTGAACCGACAAGCGCAAAGGTAGGTGTACCTTAGAATCCATGGTTAGCAACACAGTCTCTGACCGCTGTCAAATTATAGAACACACCGAGAGCGCAAAGAACGATATATCAAGGCCCTCGAAGACGAAGTCCTTCGGCTCAAAGAGGCATTCACTCATGCCTCCCAGGATAAAGACCAGCTGGCTGAGGAAAATCGCCAGCTCAAGGCGCTCCTAAGCCAAGGGGTGGCTGTGGGTGGTCCCAGTTTGTTGGACGATTCTTTGAGCAACCCAAGTCTAGGCTACGAGTCCGGTCCCGCCAGCATCACCGGGAGCTACGCGCCAATATCGAGCAATACAAGCAACTTCACTGCGTCGCCCCTCCCAACCGGCGGAATGGGACACCAGAGCGGCCCGTCACCAAACAATGGGGGTATGAGAGGGTTCGAGAACCAACCGAATCCGAATCCGAATCCGAACCTCGATTACGAGCAACTTGGGATCGATTTTGTGTTAACGTAAGATATCCCTTTCATGTTGTAACCATGTGTGCTTGCCTGTTTAACATCGCTTTTCTGTTCCTTGTGCTGCCCCCACTTACCTTGCCATATGGCTTTGCGACCAGTGGGAGGGCGGAGGCTCAAGGATGATGGCGTGAAGATATGGTAGCGGAGAAGAACGTCAAGCTAACCACTCCGCCACACCTTCTCGGCAGAAGAAAATAGGCTCGAGAGACCTTGCATGGAACACCTACCATGGCTACTTGACCGAACTGTCGAATCGGGCGGAGTCGAACCCTGCGGACATGCTCTCATGGCATCGTGCCCACCCGAGTCGTTTGCCCAGATGGCCCCTGAGGTCCCGTTTGGACACAACGACAGTGGAGAAACCAAGACACACAATCATGGTGTCACCGATCGTGGCCGTACTGGAGAGCAGCCGCGTACATGGGATTTGGCAAAGCCCGACTTGGCAACGTTGATGGACCTCAGCCAGAAACTGAATCTTGAGGGGGAGATCACACCTGTAATGGCGTGGGGGATGGTGATGACGCACCCGGGTGTTAATATGTTGAGGATGGAAGATTTTAGAAAGCTGGCTGATGAGTTGGCTGGGAAGGTTAGGTGTTATGGGTATGTTGATTCTCGAGTACTTCTTGGTCGCTTGCCTTCGGCTAGTTACGGTGCTGTTAGAGTATGTTTGCTGACATTTACGCAGGTTTGGTTCTGTGATGGAGGAGTTCGAGGTTCGAGATGCGTTGGAGAATGTTTTCTCGACGAAATCGGAGCTTGTACTGGGATATTGACATTGGTTGGGATCTACAGAGCTTTGATGTTTATTTCTCGGGTGTTATTGAGCAACTTGGACGGCGCACTGTATTAGATGTCCCTATTGTCACTTTTGAAGGTATCTGAGTCCGTAGAAAAGTAAATAGTGCTTTGGGGACATGGTTCCAGTGTTTGTCCTTGTGGGAGTGGTTAGTATTGTCTCCTGACTTGCTATGGACAGAATAATAGGATTGCTTTACCGCTACGACGTATCGGATGACAGCCCATAGGCCTTTCACGGCATATTATAAGATCTGTGAGCTTTCAACAGAAGCTATTAGACATCAGAGGGTGTAGAAGATGCTTCTGGATGTACTTGACCTCTAGAAAACCATGTTCTAGACGTGTGTGGTACCTGCTTTTCTGTCACCGACCTTCCTGCCCCTCCGCACTGTGCTACCGCAAGCGGTTGCCCCACACCCACAACACCCCACCACGAGAATTTCACTTTTGAAAAATAGCCCTCTGTCAAACTGCTGCAACTCCGCATTCACGTCGCAACCGCCACAGCACCGGATCTCGGCTCACTCTACGATCACTACTTATTGGACATCATCCGGAGCATACCTTCAGCAGCCCAACTCTTATCCCACATCAACACAACCCAATATGGCTGTCCCACCACCAGGCGAGTCGGCCCTGGTCGACCTGATCAACTCGTTGCCCGAGCATGAGGGCACTTGGGGCCCCCCGATTACCACCGAGACCACCCTCAACGGCGTTCCCTACGCCCCATTCTCCAAGAGCGACAAGCTCGGTCGCATGGCTGACTGGACCGACAACAAGGATGGCAGAGACGGCCGTGGTGGCAGACAGCAATTCAACAGGAACTTTAGAGGTGGGTGCTGGATGGACCTGTCGCAAGGGCTCATCACTCGCATACGTGCGATTTGTATCTGCTATGCGTACTAACATCTGCTCTCTCCAGACCAACAAGTCTATGGTGCCGGTTCCGCTTCTCTGTTCACTCCTCCTGTCGCCGAGGACGAGGCTTCCTTCTCCGTTGTCTCCAACGTTCGCGACTCAACCAAGACCCGCTTCGGCCGTGGTGCCGTTTTCACCCGTGGCCGCGGTGGCCAGCGCGGTGGAAGGGGAGATTCCAGAGCCGCCGGTGGTCGTCAACAGTTCCAGCGTGCCGGTCGCGGTGGGCAATATGGCGGAGGCTATGACAACCGGGGCGGTGCCCGCGGTGGCGGCAATGCTCGCGGCGGTCGTCGCTTTGGCTGGAAGGATTACGACAAGCCTGCTCGCAACCGTGATGCTTCGATCAACATCAAGCCCAACTGGACCTTGCTTGAGGAGATTGACTACAACCGTCTTAGCAAGCTGAACCTCGAGACGGACGAGGGTGAGGATATCGACAGCTACGGTTTCGTAAATGCCTACGACCGCTCCTACGACAAGCCACCAGTCAAGAACTCGGAGCGCAAGCTTCTTGCGCTTGACCGTGCTGCCTACAACGTCACGACCTCTGTGGATCCTATCATCCAGGAGCTCGCTGACAAGGAGGAGGCCACCATCTTTGCCACTGATAGCATTCTCTCGATGCTGATGTGCGCCCCCCGTTCCGTCTACTCTTGGGATATCGTCATTGTCAGACAGGGCAACAAGGTCTTCTTTGACAAGCGCGACAACGCCGCTCTTGACATGGTCACCGTCAACGAGAACGCCGCCGATGCGCCGCTCGAGGCTTCCGAGGGATCCAAGGATTCTATCAACCAGCCCACCGCGCTCGCGGAGGAGGCTACCTATATCAACCACAACTTTGCCAACCAGGTTGTGCTTGAGCAGCACAAGGTCAGCATGGCTCACGAGAACCCCTTCTACTCCCCCGAGGAGTCCGTGCCCCCTGCGTCCAAGGCCTACAAGTACAGACGGTTCGATCTTTCCACCACCGAGGAGAGCCCCACTTATCTTATCGTCCGCACCGAGTTGGATGCGGTGCAAAAGAGCGCTCTCAACAACGAGAACCAGTTCGTCACTGTCCACGCTCTCAACGAGTTTGACAGCAAGGCTCAAGGCAGCGGTGGTGGCCTTGACTGGAGGACCAAGCTTGTGTCTCAGCGTGGTGCTGTAGTCGCCACTGAGATGAAGAACAACAGCTGCAAGCTCGCCAGATGGACTGTTCAGTCTATTCTTGCCAAGGCTGATGTCATGAAGATTGGGTATGTTTTTGTCCTGTTCTGTGTATCTGTTGGAACATGTGGTGGCTAACTTTGCTTTCACCAGTTTCGTGTCTCGCGCGAACCCCAAGACCAATGACAAGCACGTCATTATTGGCGTTGTTGGCTGGAAGCCTAAGGACTTTGCCAACCAGATGAACCTCCAGCTGTCCAACGGCTGGGGTATCGTTCGTACCATCGCCGACATGGTTCTTCAGCAGCCAGAGGGCAAGTACATCTTGGTCAAGGACCCCAACAAGAACATCCTCCGACTCTACCAGGTCCCTGCTGGGAGCTTGGATGACGAGGAGGAGGAGGTCGCCGAGCCGGTTCAGGAGGCGGAGGAGTAGAGTACCTCTAGGGAGTGTAGAGCACCGTCGGTGGCGAGAAGGAGGACAAGAAGGAGGACTATGTGATGACACCGGGTATTATACCGCTCAAGAGCAATATTACTGAAACGGAAGCGGATACGGGATACCTCTGTGGTTATGAAAAGCCAGCGTTTTTCCGGATCAGCATTCAATAAAGGGGTTAAAAAGCGGGACCATAGCGTCAAATGCAATACCAATGAACTTTTCTACCAAATGTCTGTAATTGCGTACCGGACGTCGGTCCCAAATATGAATATGCAAAAGAGTGATGTGCCGTTGGAGTTGTTGAGAGTCTCTGCCACCTCTCATCGGCTTACGACAATGTTTTGAGGCCTGTGAGCCATACCTAGAAGCCCCTATTTCTGACGCGAATAGGATGAGACTACTTCGGCACCTCGGGTCTAGAACGAGGAAAGTTTGGCCCTGGCGGGACGACTAGCTGAGCTTCCCGCCTCTTGAACCAGCTGTATCCAATAGCACAGGACAAATCAATATTCTCTTTGTTCTCATGTCTCCTTTGCCCTGACCCCCTTGGCTCGTTCTCTAAGTGCAGAGCACGTGACACCGCGCAGACCTAGCGTTTTGCTCCCCTCCCGGTGGCGGACATTTTACGCCACCCCTCCAACACTCGTCGCGTTCTCAACGTGTTGCACTTTTGCCAACTCCGATCGGCTTGCCTTCTCCCCCCTCCCCACGCCCCAGTCGACAAAATGGCTCCCGCAAGAATATCAAAAGCCAAGCCAAAGACGGCGGCGACACCGAAGCCGAAATTGAAGCAAAAAACGATCACACCGAATCAACCGCCTGGGGCGCGGATGAAGGTGCAGCCTGTGACGAAAGGGCCGAAGGTGAAGACGAAGCCGAATGCGAGCATTTTGAGTTATTTTAAGAAGACGGAGGATGAGGACTTGTTTATTGGGGGGGTTGAAGGTGGGGTTGAAGGGGGGGTTGAAGGGGGGGTAGGGGAGGGGGGAGAAGAGGACGAGGAAGATATGTACGGGGCAGATGATTACGTCAAGAGGCCCGTGGAGGAGGAGGGGGGAGGGGAGAGATATAATGAGAATGGGGGGTCGGTTAAGAAGAGGAGGTTGAGTTTCGGTTTGCAGGAGGGTGGGGAGGAATCGAGGGCGGTTTCAGTAGATGCCGAGTCGACGACAGTCAAAAAGGAGCAGAACGAGCCGAGGAAGCCACCTGCGAAGAAGAAGGTTCCAAATCCATTTTTGGACGACTCCTCTTCTGACGAGGACGGGGATGAAAACGAAACGAGCAATGATGACGACTCGACGACTCCATCAAGGGTGAGACCTACCCTTGCGTCTGCAGACCCCGCAGAAAATGTTTGCGAGTCTACTACCGGCGACAGACTTACCAACGGGACCAGGATAACAGATAGGGATGACGAAGATCAAGATCAAGAAGTAAAGGGCAAGGTGCCGCTGCTGCGACATGAGACCTCCGGAGCGAATTTGACATCGAATGAAGGACCTGCAGAAGAGGAGCCAATCGATGAGTTAGGCGAAGAGGAATTCGACGAGGATTTCACCGGCGAAGAACTCCAAGCTATGCGGGACATGGAAGAGCAAGCCATGTTGGAGGGTTATGAAGAGTTTGGTATGGACAGACGTACTGATGAAGAGATGATGGAAGCATGTCCAATATGCGGGGGCAGTTTGGCGGGTGCGTCAGAGCAGGTGGCTTCGGAGCATGTCAATGCCTGTCTGGATGGGAATCCGACGCCGCTACCGCAGCCCAAGCCACCAGCGGCACTCGAAGAGAATAAAGAGATCGATGGTGCTGAGGTGGGAAAGAGGTTTGCGAAAGCGGCTGTGCCTAGACCAGGACAGGCGAATCCTATCAGTTTCGGTGAGAAGACTTCAGCTGGCAGCTCGGGCTCAGCATTTGCTAAGCTCATGTCTGGACATGCTGAGGATACCGCTTGGGCAGCGGCTGCTGCGGCAGAGAACGCCTCGAGAGGAATGCCGGCGTATAAGCGGACTTGTCCGTTTTACAAGATTATGCCTGGGTTCTCGATTTGTGTTGATGCCTTCAGGTATGGTGCTGTGGAGGGCTGCAAGGCCTACTTTCTCAGTCACTTTCACAGTGATCACTACATTGGCCTCACGGCGAACTGGACTCACGGCCCGATTTATTGCAGCAAAGTAACGGGGTCACTCGTCAAGACACAGCTAAAGACAGCGGCTAAATATGTCGTTGAGCTTGAGTTTGACAAAACCGTTCCAGTCCCGCACACAAAGGGGGTCACAGTAACAATGATCCCCGCCAACCATTGCCCCGGTAGCTCTCTATTCTTGTTTGAGAAGGCCATGGGAGGAGGCAAGACACATCGGATCTTGCACTGTGGGGATTTCCGAGCCTGTCAAGCTCACCTTGAGCACCCTCACCTCCGCCCAGAGACAATTGACGCCGTAACAGGCAAGACAAAGCACCAGAAAATTGACGTCTGTTATCTAGACACCACCTATCTCAACCCAAAATACTCCTTCCCTCCGCAAAAAGACGTCATCGCCACCTGCGCAGAGATGTCGTCCCTCCTCAACCAAGCCCTCATCTCCAACGACGACAAAGAATGGGACTCCCTCCTCCGTCGTCGAGAAGGCGGCGCCCCATCCACCTCAGTCAGCAAGTTCTTCACCACCACCACAAATGACCCCCCGCCACCACCTTCTAAACCACCTACTCCCACTGCCCCCCTGAACGCATTCACCGCCCTCTCAGGCAACCCCCAACCCTCCCAGAGAAACCGCCTCCTCATCCTTTGCGGCACCTACTCCATAGGCAAAGAGCGCATCTGCGTCGGCATCGCCCTCGCTCTCGAATCCAAAATCTACGCCTCGCCTTACAAACTCAAAATCGTGAACCAACTCGACGACCCAGAGCTCATCTCCCTCCTTACTCCCAACCCCCAAGAGGCGCAAGTCCATCTCGCCTCGCTGTCTGACCTCAACAAGGAGAATCTCATCTCTTACCTCGAGGAAAATCGCCGGTTTGGATTCTCCCGGATTGTAGGGTTCAAGCCCTCGGGGTGGAACTACCGCCCCCCGAGTTTGAAGAGCCTAAATATCAAGGCGGATATGGCCCCGGGTAGCGTACCGATGGAACAGCTCTTGTATGGAAAGGCGTGGAGGAGTAGGTTTCGCAAGGCGGATTTGATACCCATGAGGGGAAGCACCAAAGAGGGAGTGTTATTGGGGGTGCCGTATAGCGAGCATTCTAGCTTTAGGGAGTTGGCGATTTTTGTGATGGGTTTGAAGATCGGGAGGGTGGTGCCGACAGTGAATGTGGGGGGCGAACAGAGCAGGAAACGGATGAAGGGGTGGATTGATCGGTGGATTGTGGAGAGGGGGAGGTTGAAGGGCGGACGGCTGGAGGTGAAGGAGGGTGTAGATGGGAGAGAGGAGGAGGAGGAGGAGGAGGAGGAGGAGGGGGTGGTGTATTGGTGATTGTTTTGATTGGGATATAAAGAGGTCGGGATATAGGGGGATGGGTGAAGAGTCCAGCGTAGTTTAGTCATAACATTATGTAACAGTTGAAACAAAATATGAAGACTTACGATGTAATAAAATAGTGTTAAGTAAAAAGAAGGCCAAGCCGGTGGGGGAGCAGGCTCAAAAAGCAAAAGAAGATGGGAACTGTGAGGCTCGAACTCACGACCTCAGGATAACTCTGGTGTTAAGACAGCCAGATCATACTTGTAATCGTATGAGACCTGCGCTCTTCCAACTGAGCCAAGCTCCCTGTTGATGTGTTGAAATAAGTTGGTGGATAAGCGGCTAATATGCAAGTCTTTCTTGACCCCACACATGACTCAACCTCATGCGATCGAAAGTCTTGGATTTGGCTTTGTGGTGAGGGGAAGACAATAGTAACTTCACAATTGAGAGCACGATTGTTGATGAATGGGTAAAGAAAACATGGGCGCACAGTGCTGGCTTTGTTGAAGAGGTGACAATGGGGAATGACATGCAAAGGTTGCGAAGATACACACACGCTTCAAAGTTATGGGGAATTAAACGCACTTATTTTATTCCACATTCTGCATGACCCTTTATCCTCCTCTCGGTGTCAATGTTTTTACCACCAAGATACTCTTGACCCATTTGCAATAATAATAATAGCCTGGGCAATTTCCACCTCTCCTCTTCTTCCCGCGCATAAGATCCAAACCCTCTCTGAGATGCAAGGACAACAAATACACCAGTTGTCTTTTGCGGACCTCCCCTTTCGTCATGGCTGTTAGTGCCATACTTCTTATGCCACGAGTAGCTTTGGCTTTTCTACCTCCTTCTTCGTTTCACCTCCCCGCGCCGTTTCTAGCAGTCTCCTCACTTCGCCTTCACAGCTTGGTTTGCCGCCTCTGTTTTTTTTTTTCGATCATCAGCACCCTTATCGTCAGGCAGAAGCCGGGCAAGATGTAGCATACCTCTCCTCGTAGCATCCTCCAGCAAGTCAATATCCACCGACTGAGAAGGCAGATGGACATATCTCACGACCGAGCCTCTGATAAAGACATTCTTGACAGCGCTCTACATCTCCTTTGTCAGCTGACTCTCCATTGCAAGAGATAACTGGTATGACGGGCGCCGTACCAAGTGAGGATACTTGAGCTCATCCACCACCTGGATGTTGTCGAGCTTGATGTTGAGGTATTGGTCGACGCTCTTGAGGACGCCGCGGATGCGGATGTCGTTTTTGAGCTCGACGGTCACCTCGTGGTCGATAAGGGTTTTGAAGAAACTTTTCAGGTAAATGTTAGCATTCGGGTAATCGGGTATGGGATGAGAATGGTGTGGTGGTAGGGAATGAGGGGAGGGCCTGTGTTTGTGATGCCTTATTGCTGCATTTGTCTGGGTCATGATGGTGACTCTCTTGATGGATGAGAGTTTCGATGCGGTGTTGTGATTTCCCCCCCTCCCTTCCCGCCATTCACACTTCACTTCCCTCCCCAAATTCATGAAAACACACCCCAGAACGTCGATGTCTGAAAGCCAAGAGGGGCAAATGCATACCTGAAGAAGAGCATGTTTCTTGATAGTTATGTCTCGTCGAATAATTCGCGCGATATGCAAGTCTTTCGTCGTTGAAGCTGTCGTTTAATTTCCCGGTTTGTGCCTCCTGTCGTCTCTCTTGCGTTGGGACTGATGGTGAATGAGCAGCAACAGCGAGGTGTGGCTCCCAAGCTGGCAGTTTTGCCCCACATTTCTCTTTTTCCCGGTGATGGGTGTTGTTGCTGCCTGATAGGTTAGGCGCACAATTGGCAAGAGGCAGTGGGTAGGTTGCTCACCAGCGCTCAGCCAACCCAGCACCACCATCTGACAACCGATCTAATCTAATCTTCTCGAAGCAATCCCATATCTTCTGTGGCCCTCTACCATGTGGACAAGGGTAGACCAAAAACCTCCGACCGACCACTCACCTTCCTCTCTTCCCCCTTGAAATGCATATCCATCAAATCGGCTGACCGCCCACTCCACCCCGGGGGACCCAATCCACAACACGATCAAACCCCCTTCAAATCACGACGCCATGCAGGAGGATATATCACTCTCTGATCCAATAAGGAGGCACATGCAATATATCTCTTAAATCTTATAGATCGGAGCTAGCAAAAATAAGCTTCTCTGCACAATTTGCTTGGTTCACTGTTTCTTTTACGAGAGTCAAGATCCGACCCTAGCCAGAGGATTGGCTGTTGGTACATTGTCTACAGCATCAAAGGTAAAGACGGCATAAACGCATCGCGATTCCGAACCAAAACAGGCCCGAAACTGAGCTAACTGTGCCATACTCTTAAATTCCGTTCCTCTTTCGAAAGACTCCATGTGTACGTACTCGTCAAGTTTTTTTGATCACCCCAGGCTTCTCTGGGTAACCCGACCCGCAAACCCACAAACCTCTAATCGAGGCAAAAGAAAACGAAAAGGTATCCGCTTCAAGTGATATGATGAAATCAAAACAACACAAAGTAAATCACAGACATAGAGTACGCTGAAAAGAAGGTATAAGTGTGTGTGTATGTGTTGCGAACATAAAGTAACAAAAAGGCGCGGGCGCAATGTTGCGAAGAAAAAAAAAAAAAAAAAAAAAAAAAGGGGGGTATCCCGTCGTGACCCATTTCACAAAATATTTGTGCAATCTTTCCTTTCCATTCCAGATGATTTCAGAGAATAGGAAAAAAGTGAAAACACCGGTATTCCCATTCTCCTGTCCTGCCTCTCCCCGACCCGTCCCACACCCCGTGAGTTTCCCACCGACCGAGACCGAACGCTATGCTTTGGTTTGCTGCTGTGAGGCGAAGTGTATTCGAAGAGTAAAAAGAGGAAACAGGAAGGACTAAAAGGCCCCATCGGTGTGTCGATGCAAAAGCGCTTATAAAACACCCCAATAAGAAAAATAAAATAAAAAGGAAGTATCGTTGCCCAATCTGAAGAAGGATCAAGTGTAAAACACACGACATCACCACCCCTTCCCCCCCAAGACTCCTACTCCTCGCCAAAAACAGAACCAGTCCGGTTGTTTGCTCACGCAATCCCAATATTTCGAGTAAACAAGAGTAGGTTGGCTGTCATAACATCATGACCTTTCTTTCAACATAAGAAAATACTGGGTATAGAGTGGGAAACGCATCCCGTCTTTTTTTCTCTTTCGCCCACGCCAAATAAAAACGCCACCACTCCCCTATCACTCCTCGTCTTCTTCATCTTCGGGAGTCAAGTTGGCTCTTTTCGCTTTTTTGGCCGCAGGCGCAGAGCCTCCGTCTGATTTTCTTTTCGAGGCACCCGTGGATGTCTTTGTCGCCGTGTCCTCGAACTTGGTCTCGACACCATTTGCCTTGTCCTTTTCCATCTGGGCCACTTCGTCGGCTGTCAGGAACCGCCCACCGGGTCCACGGGGCCTCCGCATGGCATGATTGTGCCTAGACTCGTGGAGGTAAGGTCTACGGCCCTTGCTGGTAAGACGCAGCGCTTCCTCTAACCTTTGCCGGGCTACTCTGCGCTTCAGGATCCGGTGGAATTGCTTAGCATTGACATACAATGGCGACTCCTCAACGGCTCCGGAAGCGATTTCGGGGGACTGTGGCGGGGGCATCTGCTGCGCCGCAGTCATCGGGGGCGGGATGGTAGAGCGTGGGCCGGCATGGTTGAGCATGGCTGGCGCATTGGGAACACCCGGGCTGTTAACCTGGCTGAGTCGTCTTTGCTGCGGCATGCTATTCATCTGCTGAGGCGAACGAGGGCCTGTCCTGCCATCCTTCTTGGGGTTAACACCAGACATCCTTGGCGACTGCTGCAGACTTGGGTCCGAGGACATGTAGGGATATGACGATCCAGAAGCAGCAGCAGTGGCGGCCATGGCAGCTGCTTGGATCCCCGGCACAGCATATTGCATGTTGTGCTGGGGCATGGCATACTGAGTTTGATACATGTTGTGGGTTTGCGTGGGCGAGGGCTGTTGATGCTGAGAAGGGAGTATCGGGGATGTTTGAACTCCGTGAGCTGGAGAGGTGATGCTGTTGCCGCCTGCAGAGCTCGGGTAACCTGTCTGAATATGTGGTTGCGAATGCGCGCTTTGTGGTTGTTGTTGATATTGTGCGTATTCCATCATCCTGTGAGTATGTGCCGACGAGAAGCCGAGACGAATCGCAACAAATCGCGATAATCAGTAGCGCAGGGACAGAAGGAACCCGATTATAGTGGGGCGGTATGAGAGCGTAGAGGTGTCGGTCGCGCTGTGAAAGGTTGGTTTACCACTCGGGTTGATGCCAAAAGTCGTTCAAGGCCGGTGATAGAGAAGCCAGGTCCTTGATCTATTTGGGCTCACTGTGTGGGTTAAAGCTCCAAAGTCACTCTGTACCTGTGGATTGGGCTGGATGTGCACCCAATCTATTGGGAGTGATGCGTTGGCACTCGATTAAAAGGTAGGGGTGCCGTGCAATTGGTCGCACCACAGCATATGCAGGCTGATGTAGTCGCGGGGCAAAACTTGGGTGGCTCAGTCCAAGGCCTCTCGGGAGATGGCGTGGGTGAGCGCAGCCACGTGAGAGCGCTTTCTGCGATGCTGTGACGGCGAGCCTGGGGAAATTCCCGACTCGCGCGGCCCAACGGTCTGAACAACAAGAGACGGGTAGCTTGTCAACGGGAGCACGACGCAGCGTTGGCGCAGGCTCTCTCAGTCTACCAAATCGAAAATGTTAGTGCTGGGGGTCTTTGCTAGAAGGCATATAAGTGAGAGGCCAGGATGATTCGACGGGAGGAGGGCGCCTGAGTGGTGGTCAAGTCTCGCTTTTTGGCGCCTTGGGCCAGTGCCAGTCTGATGCGCTGGCATGCATGACGGAATATGCACGACCCAAGGGCCCACCTTGCCAACCAACTCAGCGCGCTCCCAAAGCCCAGCAAGGGTTATCAGCGCCAGAGAGGAAGGGGTGAAGGAACGGTAGGGGAATCCCAGGCAGGAGAGATAGATGCTGCAAGCCTTTGGGTTGGGAAGCAGAGGGCTGGTGGTAAAGGGAAGGCTAACCCCCATGTCATTACCCCTCTCCAAACACCCTCCATCTCCTGAACTTCGATCTACCTCTTCTGTCCAGGGCGGTGGTGTGTTTCCAAAAGAGTTGACAAGGAAGGCAAACAGGTAACATCAATGAAGATATTGACCGGCTGTCTAAACTTAGACAGGTCTTTGACCCTACCGAGCTACGGTGATTACGTGTGTATGTGTGTGTGTGTGCCAGAATTTGAGGGGTTCCGGCGTGCCGTCCGTTGCCAGCCAGACCGGATCGATCATGAGTGACACTGGGATAAGACAGTGAAGAAAGAGGCGTGTACATACCGGTCAAATCCAACGATTTCGTTGGGTGTCGGATGAGCAAGCTACTGTGTCGGCTGTCCGAACTGGCAAATGTGTCAGTTTTCAGAGTTTCATTTTGAAGCAAAGAGAAAGAAAAGTGCGAGAGACAGGAGCAGCTCTGGGGTCACGCGAAGGTAAAGAATGAAGCACCTTGCTGCCCTGCCAGGAGAGATATCGACGGTGTGGTATGCAGCTGCGGGAAACCAAAGCGCCGTCCGACGGGAAGAAAGGGAAGCCCCGCGAACTAACACACTGAAACCGCATCGTGGTAGGTCCAAGATGAACTTACAGTTGCTTGATAGGTAGTTTCACAGGCTGCACTCCGCTTCGGCAGCAACCAAGATTGCAGCTGTCGCAGCTAGTGGTAAGAGCCGCGATGGACCTGAAGGGGAGCGTCGTTGATTGAACGCCTGGGGGATCCGGGTTAATTGGGCTCCGCAGATAGGAATTATCACGGGACTTCGCGACGGCCAATGGTGGGCGTGATCGCGACGACGACGACGGTGATAGGTCTCCTGTGGCAGATGGTGTTGATTTCAGTTCCTGGGCTCACGGGGGCGCAAGCTGATTTGCTCGTGTTAGTTGCTAGGTCCTGGGTGCCTTTTTGCGCTCGATCGATGACTGGCTGCAAAACAGAGAACTAAGAAACTGGGCTGGGAACTCTGGGTGGGGACCAGACGATCTTGCGTTCCCCAAAACAAAAAAAAAATCGATCCCGAGCGATGGCCTGTGGCAAGTGTGCGAGTGGGCTTTTGCCTCTTCTAAGCAGGGGGGACAGGGCCGGTTCCGATGACCCGCCATCCTCATCCTGTTCTCCCGGGGGGTCTGATGCGTGCAAGACTCGCTTGACTGCCTTGACGGGGGGGCTGGGCTGCGCATTGCATCACAACCTAACAGGACGATCTTCTGACAGCCAGGACCAGGGGAAGCCATTGTGCACCAGCTTGGCACTACAATGCGGGATGGGAAGGGAAAGGATGGGATTGGGCCATGAGTATGGGATATTGTGGTGGAAATGCACACTGCTTTTCCATGGTAGCGACACGAGCCGATGAAGGCCATGAAACAACCTCAGAAAGAATGACAAAACGTACTGTGGGAGGTCAGTTGCAGGGCTGAGCTGCGCCTCTTGACTCTTTGCGCGCAAGGCAATGGGCACGGGATATATGTAGAGACGTGGAGGAATCGGCAGGCTGCAAAGCGCCGGCTTTCTGGCGGGCGACCGGGCGGTCACCGGCGGGTTGGTGCTTGGTGGCCCCGGGGGCGTTTGCACCACGGGCGGTGCGCGGGGTATCCGTACGGGAAGGGAACGCGATTAGACTTTGGGAGCCAGGTTGCGGCTCTCTCTTCTTTGACAGCTTATTGGGCTGTCTCCGTATTGGCTTTTGCGGTCGAGGGTGGCCGTTGATTTGATGGAAATTTTGGGTTCGTCGGATTGGCTTGGATTGGCTTTTCCCACCCTCACTGGAACGCTTGACAAGTGGAGAGGATGATTGGGTGGTTGATTGGTTGTGCGAGGGAAAGGAAGGAGAGACGAGGGAGAGCCGAAAGATGATTTGAGGGCGCGGTCAGAGTTCTTTAACTGCAGGATTTGGTTGGATGAATCAGCTCGCAAAGTGGGGCGGCCCGCAGCCCATTTTGCTGTGGCTGGCGGGGTGCTCCTCACTTAAAAGAGGGGTCCAGCTCCGAACGGGGAAGAGGGGTGTTGAAGCAGGAAGATACCTCGTAACTTTGCGGGGCTGCCTTGCGAGCTTGGATGTTGTTGTATTGTTCCATTGTCCCGTACAAAAAAACAAAAATCAACGAAGGATTGGGCGCGACCGCCGACGCGTCGATTCCATGAGACCACCGTACTTCGACGTGTACTGTGTAGAGCCTTGCCTGGCTGGCCTTGCACGACAGCGGTTGAACCCGACGAGGTACGGACGGCGCAGTATCAAGGTCCCAAACATCAAGCAGCAATCCGGTCCGTTTCGACTTCACTCGACTCTTGCTCTGCTGCTCTCTTTGAACTGCGGATGACGTGACGCAAGCGGTGGGCGGCCCGTCAAGCGAGACACCACTGTCGGCCACAGCAGGCCAGCTGTGGACACAGAGCGATGCCGCGGAACTGTTCTTCGAATATTAATCTGCAGTACCTTATTTCCCCAGGCTGAGAGCTTCAAGAGAGGGTCCTCGGCTTCGGATACGATACACCAGCATATTCGGATAACGGGCCAGCCGGACTATCACAGGGAAAAGCACTTCTTTAATGCGTGTCCTCGTCATCGGCAGCTGGCGAGGCAGACCGGTGACGGCACCCAAAGTCGACAAATGTCTTGTGAGGTTCAAGACAGCTCGGAACTGGCCAAGCTATACCGGGCTGGGACCAGCAGGTGATGGGTGTTTTGGGCTCTGACCAGCGATCGGCATGACGGAGATTCACTCACTCGTAAGACCTAGACGCTGTGAACCTGTAAGTCAACTCTTCCAGCTTCGATTGTACACACACTGCTGTGTTGTTCGACAAGACTATATTTAGTCCAAGCAACGTCACATAAGAAATTCGGTCTTTCTCCAGGCCTTGCGGGAGCACGGAGGGGGCCTAGCTGGACAGGCTGTCAATTGTTGTCAACCATCGACTAATAAATACCCGTCAGTCCGTGCGCGAGATGCCAATGTCTTATCTCGATCCAAGCGAGAGGCTTCATGGAAAACAACAGAGGCTCCAGACTTCATGATGGCACGCTCCCACGCACTTGGGAACTGACAGCACCGGATTAGGCAAACATGCAGTCAAGATGGGAAAGCTTGGCCCGCAGCGAAAGGCGCCAGCCCAAGGAGCCGGGGATGCAGGGAGCGGCGCCAGATGGAGGCGTGACGAGGCCACTGGCGGCCAACGCATCGCGGGTTGAGAAAAAGGCAAGACGCTCGGCGCTCCAACCACCAAGCCCAAAAGTCGGTGTGGGCCAGTGATGGATATGGCTTTGTCACGGCTCCACTTTGCCTGCCGTCTTCGCATCTCGGTGCTGGAACAAACAGCCCGGCACCCACCGACATCAACGTCAAAGTTCCATGAAACGAGAATGAGCGGTCCGAAGCCAACCGGGAAGTGGTTTGTCATGACATTGAAGATCGAGCCCCTCCATCAGATCACCATCACACATCCACGGAATTCCCATGCGGGTTTTTGCAGCTTCTCATGATATTCTCTCATCAGTTTTCATCGTGGCTTCCTACACTACCCCTCCCCCCGCAGTGCCGGGTGGAACGCAACGCTGCGCCGTAGGTTCGGTATAGTTCCGCTGCGAAAAGGTTGACCGAGCCCTTCCCACCCCAGGCCTGGCAAATCACTGGGCCGTGAACGAAGAGAACATGGTTTTCTGCACTTACTCGATGGTCTTATTAATAACGTCGGCAATGAGGGTTGCTCTCACAGAATAAGAAAAGAGGCCATATATCGCAAACACGAAGGGATCGTATACTCGATGCAGGGCTCCCACACCCAATCTTCCGCATGAATCCTTAAACCGAATCCGATCAGGTGACGACACAATGTATCATCAAACGCAAGATGTGTTGTCTCTTCTGGCTGGATGTGGTGTGGGAGCCTTCTCTTGCTTGTTCTTGTTGAAAACTTGAGGAGAGCCTGCAGCTGCGCCACTTTCTCGCAGCTCTCTCTCGGCTGCTGGCGGATCTTTCTCTTGCGCGTCACGGAAGTGAGCAGACACGCTGGCTTGGCGTGGGCAAAAGAGGCGGTGCATGCGACCAGACACAGCCTCTCACAACAGAGAGTAGATGAGTCGGTTGGACAAGAATGGCTCACAAAGTTGTGTGCTGACTGGTTAGAAATCACCCGTAACGGGCGATTTTCCCTCGTGTTTCAGGAATTTCACTGGGCTTCTTCGTTTCTGAGGGACGAATTGCGGAACTTCTTGGTGAACATGAACAACAAATCACGCGAAAGCTGTCACTCCCCTCCATCTTCTTCGGTCATGTCCACCTCCCCCTCCATCTATCCCGTGCCCCCAACCACCTACCACTGTTCCGGGATACGAAGGCGCTCTCGCTCGCTTCTATCCAGCTGTACCGTGTTTCAAGAAAAAAGGAATGATGAAAGACCAGCATCATGGAAGTTCCAATCTGTAGGTCTGTCAGCATTCTCCCAAAAGTTCCTTTTCCATTTGGCGGTTGAGTGAATTTTCTCACTCTCTCTCCGAGCCCTATCGGTTTCATCCTACAGTACCAGTCACACACTCACACCAGCGGGTCATTCTCAAGTTCATAGAAGAGTTCTTGGAAGACGACC